TAAAAGATTAAACATCAATTTTTTATTAAAATTGAATTTAATTTCTATAATAATATATGTTCAAATATTATATAAACATTATAAATATATTTTTATTTATTTTTGTTTATTTTTGTTAAATAGTTATTAAGATTTTTAGAATATTTTGAAATTTGTATGTAAATCGTATACAAAATGAAAACCTTGATTTTTAAACTTTAATAACTTTTTATATAAAATCATGAAAAATCTAAAAAAAAACTATAACTGAGCTAATAACTATATATAGAATATATATTCAAAATTTCATTTAATTAGATTCAATATTGATAGAATTGTGAATATTCGAAAATCACTGTTTTTGGTGTGAAAGGGTGGCCCGAAAGTAGGGTAGTTGACTTAATGAACCTCCTCGAATATCATCAACAATCATCAAAACTAACCGACAAACAAAACTCCCCAAACCTCATATTCTCAACAGTTCAACAACTCAACAGCTCCTTCTCCATCCAAGTTCCCTATGACGCAAGAACAGCATTTGTATCTTCAATCCCCACTATATTACCCCTCACCCCACAATATCAGAAGGGAAATCCCAAAAGATCTAGAGGAAAATTTCAAGAAAATGGCCCCGTGATCTCCACTTATCTCCTCTATCTCCCCCCGATTCACCTCCCTATCGCTCCCGCCCTCCCCGTACTTCGGAGAACTTGGCCATAAATTGATATCTATAGACCAGCTTCTTCCTTCTAATACAACTCTTCAAAGGACCGTCGACACCCCAGAAAGCCTCCAAAGTAAAATTTCATAAGAACTTCAAACTAACTTGCCTTGCTACCTTGGATAACAAGACACTAATCAGTACTTCCACTGCTCTGGAAAGACTCCCTTCGCAGATATTGAGCAGATTGCGTTGCCCTCTCGCAGATCGATTGCTTGCAGGTTGATCGAAGTACGTAGATGCTCTCTTCCACGGCTATCTTCCTCCTACTCCTGAACACTCTTAAGATTCTGCAGCAATACTTAGTATTCAACACTTCTAACACATTCTATCCCAGTAGACAAACAAAGATTTAATAGTCTTTGAATATTGACATTAATTACTAACAAGTACCAATCACAGCACATCAACAGCGTTGATACTTCAAGATTTTTTGCAATTCAGGGTATGTAAATTATGGTTTTTTGACACCCAATCCTCCTGTGTGCCTTGAAATTTCCCAAGCCCCAGAATACGGCACTACTGCAGTCTACAGTGCTTCTTACATATTTTGACCAAGAGCACACACACAGAGAATTGACAGTGTTAAAAGGTAGCAGCATTACTTTCTGTCTTGAATCATTGATGCTCAAAGTTCTTGAATAGCAGGATGTGTCACTTCTACATCCTCTAAGCTTCCCATCTCAGTCACAACACTAACTAACCATTACAGTCAGAGCAGACCATAATCATCAATTCCTCAAACCATACGACACATAATCCCCCAAATAACACTTAACTACACATCACAGTCAGTCTAAAAACTCGAATACCACAATTTGATTGGCCATACTAACAATTTTTACCTATATTTCGATCAGACTACTCCTATTCACTCACCACAAATCGTACCCCTTTTCCATACTCACTCACACCCAGCTTACTTCAACATCAGGTTAAAATCCAGCCAAAACTTTGGTCTCAACCTTTTTAATCTCTTTATTTCTTCTTCTACCTTTGGAAATACTACAATAACCACAACACCCACACCAAACACTACCTTCCACACACACAACAATACCCCAAATCCCACACATATTCTCAACATCCCCTTCCCCTTCACAAGCACAACACCAACAGCCAGTAAGTAGCACACCCAACTCCCAAAACACACAACCATGTGTGTCAAGAAATTCTGGGGCTACACCTGCGGGCACTGCAGTCCCTGTTTCCTAGTCAAATGTCCCACTACGGCGCAAAACGACAATTTTCCACCATGTTCCATTCCGGCCGAACAGCCGATCTTCGCAAATCAATTCTGCCACGCGTGTATGCGGGTGAATTGGAATAAGGGGGTGATTGCTGAGGAGGAGGCTCATAAGGGAAGACATGAGAGGGGAGAGTGTGGGTGTGAGGTTGTGTTTGATAGGGGAGAGAGGGAGAGGAGGGAGAGGGAAAGAGAGGCGAGGGAGAAGGAGGTGAAGGAGGTGAAGGAGAGGGAGGAGAGGGAGGAGAGGGAGAGGGAGGTTAGGGCTTTGAGGGAGGGGGGTGGAGAGTTGGAGGCGAGGGAGCAGAGGAGGGAGAGGGAGATGGAGGGGAGTGGGAGTGGGAGTGGGAGTGGGAGTGCTAGTGGGAGAGATGGAAATGGAAGGTTTAGAGCGAGAGGTAGGGGAAAAGGTCGAGGGGCCGCTGATGCTGCAAATGGTGCAGGCGTTGCAAGTGCAACAGAGAAAACTGGCGAGAAGAACGGCGGCGAGGAACGTGAAGGGAAAAAAAAGCAAATGGAAGAATACGGAGGTGATGCCGGCATGATGAGAGGAATGAACAGCGGATTCACGATGGGCGCCAGCTCATCTTCATCAGGATATCACAGCCCCCGTGCTACCGATCCCAATTCCACTCACCGATACCAGCATTACGCACACAACAACATGGGAGGTGGTCCCATGGACAATACTGGGCTTGGAAACATGTTCGACGTGAACCCCATGACAGGCATCATAGCAGGATTACCTATCTCGAATCCACCGCCTATAACGAGTTCCAGCGAGATGTACGGAGATATGATGATAATCCCGCCTTCACCCCGAATGTCCGCCATGGGGGTCTATCCCATGGGCCATCCCATTCTCACCAATAGAGGAACCGACAATCATCCATATGACGTAGCAGCACTCGGTGCACTACCACCTGCAGGACCTTCCAATTGGCAAAGTCCAGGCATCATGACTTCTTCCACGTATAGCGATGGCAATAGTAGCAGTGTGTACGCCGGAAACCAGTCCTCTTGGAACCCCAACCCTCATCTCAATGCACCTAGCATGGATCACCGCGCATCCTACCGTGACGGTCAAACAAGATCTCAACATCCCACGCTACCAGCTTTTGCAGATCCAAATGTCTACCAACAATATCGCCAGCTTGATCCCGATGCCCAACGTAACGCCTACAATTACGTAGGATATTACTGTATAGACCGCCCCACCGGAGGATCACCCCAAACCCGCGCTCAAGGCCCAGTTCCCACGACCGACCCCCAAACAAACAGTGGATTCATCCGAGCCCCCACCATCTCAGCACTTCCCGGTGGTACCGCCGGCGCCGGAATGGTCTGGCACTCCTCGTATAACTCTCAGCCACCCCTTCCACCACTTTCAGCACTCCCAAACCTTCCACCACAAATTCCCTATTTCGGAGATTCGGCTCCCGCAGCTCCAAGATACTCCAACGAGGCACTTTCTGTTTCTCGACGCCATGCGCGCAATAATGCACGAAACCCTTTTCAACGATCGAGAACTAGTCCATCGGTTGGAACAATTCATATGCAAGGAGCGAACAATACCGGTCCGGCTCAAATGGATTCTCATGCAACACCTGGAACAACTCTGGGCCAGGTTTCAATCCATTCTAATGCGACGACACCGGTAACTACTCCTGGCCAGTCGCAAGTGGGTTCTGAGGATACACCTGTAACTATGAACATATCTGTTTTGCGTACACCACGGGTCATCAGTAGTATGCCACGACCAAACTCGACAATGTGAAGGAAACAAGCATGAACGGTGCAACATTCAAGTAAGTTTTCAAGCAAAGATGATGTTTTGAACAGGTCATGTGTATCGTGTAATGCTGGCAAGTATGCTAACTCAGCCTTTCACTTAGAATTTGTACATTGAGAACAAAGAAAAATTGCGCCGGGATTGCTTGAAACCACTGTACCATCATCGGAATCTATTTTTCCTTTCTCACTTTCCTTTCCTTTCCAACGAATCACGACTACCGATCAACTTCTCCGAAGACTGCGAGTATGGTTAGCATGGATCTATAGTTGAAGCGACGAATGTTTTCATGAAATCTTACCCAAATCCATAGTACCAATGATAGCAACGGCGTCGGGAAGCAAATGTCCTCTTGAAATTTGATCGAATCCACCTAAGTGAGCAAAACCTGGTGCACGAATCTTGCATCGGTATGGTCTTTCACTTCCGTCACTTACAACGAACACACCCATTTCACCCTTTGGCGCCTCAATTGCGGAATACGTCTCTCCAGGTGGAACAGTGTATCCCTTGGTAAATAGCAAAAAGTGATGAATCAGCGCCTCCATATTCTCCTTCATCGCAGCACGAGGTGGTGGCGAGATCTTGTAGTCTTCTACCCGGATCGGTCCAGCTGGCATCTTATTCAAACATTGGTGGATAATTCGCAGGGATTGTCTAAATTCCTCCATTCTGCAAAGATATCGGTCATAACAATCACCGTTGACACCAACTGGAACATCGAACTCGACTTGATCATATGCGTCATAAGGCTGACTCTTACGAACATCCCATGGAACACCACTTCCTCGAAGCATGACACCAGTGAAACTTAAGTTCAGAGCATCAGCGGCTGAAACGACACCCACTCCCTTTGTTCGTCCAATCCAAATTCTATTATCAGTGAGTAGTTCCTCTGTCTCATCAATACGATCACTGAATTGAGTGGCCCATTGATAGATATCGTCAAGGAGGCCAACTGGAATATCTTGATGGACGCCACCTGGACGAACATATGCAGCGTGCAGGCGAGCTCCTGAAACTCGTTCATAGAATTCCTACGGTGAATATTAGCATCATTACATTTCTTAGATAGTTAGAAGTCAATAATAATAAGATTTCCTTACCATAAGCTTCTCACGTTCTTCAAACCCCCACAAGAAAGGTGTGAGAGCACCAACATCCATTGCGTGAGACAAAATCGACATAAGATGATTCAAGATTCTAGTGATTTCACCAAAAAGTGTTCGAATCCACTTCGCTCTCTCAGGGATCTCAACGTTTAACAGCTTCTCAACAGCCAAAGAGAAACATTGCTCATTGGTCATCATAGAAACGTAGTCCAATCGATCAAAGTATGGCAAGGCCTGGAGATATGTCTTATATTCGATCAACTTCTCGGTTCCACGATGCAATAAACCGACATGAGGATCCGATCGAACGATTTCCTCTCCATTGAGCTCCAAAATTAACCGCAACACACCGTGAGCAGCCGGATGTTGAGGACCAAAGTTCACAGTATAATGCCGAATCTTCCTCTTCTCCACATGTTCGCCTTCGTGCAGACTCGAATCGGAGGCAATGTTGACATTATCTGGATGGTTTGATGCTGTGAAATGTTCATCGGTAGGAACTAATCTTGTGCCCTGATATGGCTCTGCGTATCTGCGTGCTGGGAGTGCTGAAAATGCTCGGATTGAAGCTCTTGATGTTGAGGGACGGAGTGTGGTAGTGGGTCGCAACGAGCATTTGGCAGCTGTGCGCCCCGCCTGCCGGAAAAGTGATGCAGCCATTGTGAACAGAACTGAAGAAATACTGGAGATGTGTACCAGATCTCAATGCTTTAGGAGACAATGAGACGGTGGAGTGGAGAGGGAAGCCGTTTAGTGTTTGCCTCTTTGATTATCTAGATGATGTTCATGACTTATTAGCTTGTATCTTTTGATTGGCTTTGCTTATTTGATAAATTATGATTGGTGGTTCCGGATAGCAGGGGTCGGCACCGGTTGATATTGACGCCGATATCAAAATTTAAATTTTTGTAGCTTCAGAATCTTTGCGACAAGAGAGTAAAATCCCCCCGCCATTACTTATACTTTTTGTATCCTGAATTATACAAAATGGCGCCATTATCAGAAATTAACTTAGATGTTCAGAAACCAAGGAGCTTCTCTGAAAGGGAATTGGCAGCTAGAAAAGTACGGATTCTTCAGCTTTTGACTGATTTTCATTTCTAATTACTTTATAGATAGTAGGAGTAAACACCGAAACCGTCACCGACATCACCTCCACAGATTTCCCTGGTCATTGGCCAAACGAAGAGCATGCTTGGGATAAAGATGTATTCGCCAAGAATCTCTCCGTAGTGTTCCACCAAAACGAACCTCTCCTCTCTACTTTCTCCCTCATCGGCATTGATGCGTGCGTCGCCAATGCTTTCCGTCGGATCCTCATTGCCGAAATCCCTACTCTCGCCATCGAATACTGTTTCGTAAAGAACAACACCTCGGTAATCCAAGATGAAGTTCTCTGCGGTCGTCTCGGTCTCGTACCATTCAAGGGCGGAAAAGAAGGACTCTTAGATTTCATGAAATGGTTTCCAAAGCCCGAGGAAGAAACCCCAGAAGAAGAACGTCATGTCGGCTCTTTCGATCACAATACTGTTCAATTAACCCTCAAAATCGAATGTACACGCAACAAGGACGCTGCTCCAGGAGAACAGGATCCAAGGAAAATGTACCACAATGCACATGTATATGCGAAGGATATCGAATTCAAACCTTTTGGACGACAACTCGAGTATTTCAGCGGGGAAAACACTATCAAGAGTCCCAATCCAGATATTTTGATTGCGAAGATGAGACCTGGCCAGGTCATTGATATTGATATGCATGCGGTTAAGGGAATTGGCAGAGATCACGCCAAGTTTTCCCCTGTAGCTACTGCTTCCTATCGATTATTGCCAGTAATCGATATTATTAAACCAATTTTGGGCAAAGATGCGGTCAAATTCCAGAAATGTTTCCCCAGCGGGGTTATTGGAATTCGTCCGGTTGAAGCGAAGGAGACAAAGATCAAAGGAAGTGGATACGAAGGACATCAGGGAGAGGATATGGCAGTAGTTATGGATGCCATGAGGGATACGGTCAGCAGAGAATGTCTGAGGCATGAGGAATTTCAAGGCAAGGTCAAATTGGGAAGAATTAGAGATCACTTCATTTTCTCGATTGAGAGCTTGGGGCAATGGGACAGCGATGAGCTGTTTTTGGAGTCAATCAAGACACTGAGAACAAAGTGCGAAGCCTTCAAGATGAGTTTGCAGAATATGACGAAGTAATTATGGGGATATAGGGGAAGGATTTTGTCATGAGCATTGCAGGAGTTTAGGAAACATGGCGTTGGTTGGTTTGTTCATGAATAAACAGGTATTTAAATCTAGAGAGCTTTATAACCAAAAAATCAATGCTTGCTTATATGATATCATTTTCTCATAAACCCGTTAAAGAGAGCCTATGCAAGCTATCAGAACTCCTGACCCAATGACCCCGCTAATTCTACTTCATTCTGCTCATCATATAATCGTTAACAATGTCATTCCACCTAAGCCGACCCATTCTCTTTCAGGGCAGCAGCCTCAAATGGCTTGGAAAAGTTCAGTCTGTATTTGAACATTACCGAGCCTAAAGATGGATCCGTCACCGCAATCTCATCACCATCTCCAGTCATCTCTCCGATCCTCCTCGACAAATTGTGCTCAGTCTTCACACGCAAGCTCTCCGGACTCTGCATATATAAAGATTTGTTATCCGCCGAACGAATCGAGGGTTTCTTGAGCTGTGCCTCTGGTCTGTGAGCTAGAGAATCGATGAACTCCTGAAGAGTCAGATTTGGATCAATGCTCAAATCCCTCGCCAAGTTGCCGCACACGGGACAATCGTCTTTCTTTTCGTGTTTAAAGGTGTACGTGTAAATACTGTCATTTCCACTGTACATCATATAGTTTTCTTCCATCCCCAGAGCAGGATTGGTGTTACTTGCGATTTTGAATGCTTCGTTGCAGCAGCTGGCTGCAATAATCGCGTTGGTTGAAGCAATTGCTGGAATGATATTCTTCACCACTCCCTGGGTCAAAGAATAAGTGACACCTGGAATGTTGAATTCTTGCGCTCTTGTCAAAGCCTTCTTGTAAAGCCAAGTGATATGTTCTGGGTCGTCATTATCTAACTTGGGGAATGGATTTTCTTGTTCCCATGCCATAATATGCGCCCATTCGATGCAATGCTCGGGTTGGCGGGGGATAGTCGCTAAAGTGCAGAGAGGAACAGCGGCTCGTGGCGCATGCATATCGAGTTGGCATTCAATACAGGATGTCAAGCCTGGTAATATGACACGAGACTGTCCCTTGAATCCTAATAGTACCGTTAATATCTTTACCAAAAGTAGCTCGAACGTCTCCCAAACCTTCAGTACCTCCATCTATCAATGGCTTCAAACTCTCTGGATTGTCCATATCCACCATTCCAACTAACGTAGAATTGATCCACCGTCGAGCTTCGATACTATCTAACCCACATACAACAATACTGAATTGCATATAGAAGTCCTCATCCTTGTCTTGGATCTTGCAGTTGTGCGGTACGATTGTGACCCCCTTTACTCGTTTCTCCACAAATTTGGCTGCAACTTCGGCTTTCGATTTGCCAACATCGCTATGGCGGAAAAGAAATTGTCGATTGAGATTTGAGACATCGATTGTATCTACAAGAGCTCAGTTAGAATCTTTTCCCGGAGTATGATGAAGGTGTAGGTACCCATATCAATCACATGTATCGTCTTAAACCCTGATAGCGCCAGGTTCTTCAAGATTTCGCAACCAAGACCTCCTGCTCCTCTGACTTCCTATTAGCACTGTGAGCTCCGTTTGTGGATTTCCTAGGCAACCAACATCACCCTGCAGAAGTGTTAGCAACAGATTTTCCTCTCTTCCCTTTAAGCCGCCAAACTTACAAAATTTTCATGCCGTCCATAAATGCGGCTGCTGCCTCGCTGCCATCGAATTCCTCATCAGTAAAAGGTCCAGGGATTCGACGGATATTGTCTAAATAAGACCTTGATAAGTTAGTTTGAAGGTAAATAAATCGCGGGAGTATATTATACCATCGTGAGAGTGGTGGCTGAGTCGGCATAGTTAGAGTATTTGAGGCATTTGGAGACGTCATGGTTCCTTGTGACTTTTTTACAGTAAAAGAGTGTGTTGTTAAAGGATGAAGTGCAAGATCAAAATATTGTCTCCGAGCTGTTGGAGGATCCTTATCGAGGTGCATAATACTGTTAGCGCTATCGTGTACGCGCTAGCCGCTACCGCCCGAAACCAATCCGAGAGCCAGAAGGTTCTTAAAGAACTCTAAAATCCACTCAAAGTCATTCTCTGGCCAAATTTAATGTAGATATGGATGGCCTACTCACACCTGTGAGTATCGTCTATAAAAATCAAGAGCAAAAGGATGAAGATGCTCTCGTCGAGATATCTACCTCGTCACCATCGATCCAGCCGGCAAATGAGACTCATTCAACTGCTATCCATATATCAAGCACCGAAGGAGCTTTGGAAACTTTAAAAAATCAGCCCAGTTTTGATGATCTGAAGTCAGTTCTGGAGTTCCTCGATAGAGAAAAAACCTTTAGTATTACGTCTCCAGGACCTTTGGCTGCTCAGCTTGTCCATGTCCTGGTGTTTGAAGTTATACCAAATTACTGGAGTATTCTTCATGAATCAAGTGGCCAGCACAAGAAAAACAAGAAGTCTTATAATCTCAAATTACTGTTGAACTCCATTCGGAGTATAACAGGTATTAATGCAATACTACTAAATCTAAAACGACTCACACAACTGTCTAAAGACACCAAGAAGAACATAGGAGGTAAGCTCCCCAAAGATTGGGTCTAATAAGGTTTTGCTTTTGACTTCCATCGGATAAACTAATAAAAGATAGGTTCAAATATACAAGAAAGTCTCAAGATTCAATTGCAACTTTGTACCGAGGTTCTAGAGGGGGAGAGCTCCATTGAAAAGCTCTGGAACACCATTACTGATTCATCCGATGTCCTCACCAAGCAGAGGGCTATTTTCAACGAGCTTTTGGCCTTGATAGGAAGTGGGAAGATTGTTGGAGTCACTGCTGAGGCCGAGGCAATCTCCAATGAACTCAGCAAAGAGCCGAATGATAGGTATTGGGTTGCCGATGGAGGCCTTTACAGCAGATGGCTGGGTCAAAACATCATTTTTTGGTTGAAATCTCTCCCACAAGATGCCGAGCAGGCATGGAAGAGCTGCAATGAGCTCTTTGGAAAGTGTCTTCGGCTTGGTCACGTTGGTAAGACTACTTATTGGGTTGATATTGGTTCACTACTCACCGATATTCAGATAATATTGCCAAAGAGATTCTAGGCTCTCTACTCTTACAAAAAGAAGAAGATGCAGCGAAATTCATGACGCTCTATGGATACCTTCCAAGTTTTGAACAACGGAATCTACTTTACACATTTTTAAACCTACTGTCACAAGATAATTTATCAATGGATATCACGTCTGATGATGATGATAAATGGTGGGAAGCAAATACAAGCATCGTATCAGCTGCAGCCAAGCTCATTAACATGCTGGTTGCCGATAATGAGTCACGGAAGGATCATCTCATAGCTTGGTTGACAAACTCTTCAGGGGCTGGCATAGGCGAAGGTGTAGCAATTCGACGTGCAGCAATTGTATCACTCTCCAAAAATAAGAAGGACATGGAAATCATATTAGAGAAGAGTTTGAGCCAATTTGGCGACACTTTGTACATTAGACATGCTCCGACCTTACAACAAGAAGGTACGATTTTCAAGCAACCAAACATCATTTTTCTTACTGACCTGAATCCAAGTACATGCTCAAGTTCTTCTCTTGTCTGCTGGGTACGTTCGTCGAATGTCGCCTCTTAGACTTACGATGATCATGAGGTCAGGTTCTCATTTGAGTGTAGTTTCGAATAGATTGGCTGCATCCTCCCCCCGAGCGCGCTTCTTGGGTATGGTCATCGGCGAAGTTTTGTCTGGCTCGGTTGATAAGGGAGAGAACATCATGGATTTCAAGCTCAACGACACGAAAACACCCGAGGCAAAGTGGTATAAGAGTTTAGTAAATCTGTCGGATACGATTGGTAATCTTGAGCCTCTGAAGTCGAAATTCGTCCCCCAGACGTCGAAAGCTGCGAAAGCTGCAAAGAGCAAACCAGCGTCAAAACCAAACTCACTCAAAGGAAACTCCAAAATAATCGCCATCGAAGAAATCGAAGATGATGACGATGACCAAGTAGAATCCGACGATGATGGACTTACCCCTTATGCCAAGCCAGATTCCGACGTAGAAGACTCGGATGAAGATCCAACACTTATCACAAGGAACAAACCAACCGCTCCTGTTTATATTCGTGACCTAATCACCTACTTACGAGATACCGAAAACTACGATCGTCAAAAACTAGCACTTTCCACTGCGGCCTCTTTAATACGACGAAAGGCCAATTTCGGCACTGAAGTTAGTTCTCACGCAGAAGAAATCGCAACTCTGCTCGTTGGTCTCCAAGACAAGTACGATATCGAAAAATTTCAAGAAATGCGTTCTCAAGCTATGATCGCCATCCTCATTGCACTACCCGAGAAAATGGGCCAGTGGTTTTCCAAAACCTTTTTCGATGGCGATTACTCTCTATCCCAACGTGCTGCCGTTCTCACTACACTCGGTCTTGGAGCTCGAGAATTAGGCGGTTATGGCTCTGAAGATAAATCTCTCACCAATACCACCGACTCATCTTCATCTCCTTCTTCCTCCTTTCCGTCCAAGAAGCTCCCAGAAGCAATGCACAAATACTATACCCCATCCTCTTCAAAACCTGCTCTCACCGCAACGATCAACCCCGTCGAGGCCCTAACAAGCACCCTCCAAAACACCTTCCTCGCCCCCCTTGCCGCCCAAACAGCCGACACCCTAACCGGCCCCAACATCCTCAAAATCCGCACTTTCTCCTCCCGTCTCGAAGTAGAAAAGAAGCGCAAGAAACCCATCTCCAATGCTCTTGCAAAAATCGTCTCAGGATCTTTCTTCTTCCCTCTCACCGGTCGCTTCTTCATCCATCTAAAAGCCTACGGAACCAACTCCTCCTCCAACATCGCGTTCCAACCTTACCTCCTCAATCTCTTCCTCAAAACCCTCAGCATCATCCTCCACTCCTCGGGCCAATCAACCCTCAGCCTCCCACAAATGACGAGCGAATTCTGGGATCTCTGTCTCAGTCTCCGCACCCAAGCAATCTCAGACGTGATAGTTCAAGAAGCTCTTCTCTTTTCATTTGTAACGATCCTCGAGATTAATGAGGGGGATCTAAGGGGTCTAGCGGAGAGACATGGAAGGGAATTCTTGGAGACGAGGGAATGGGTAGAAGTCGTTTTTAAGGGCATTAGAGGGGGGAGTGAAGAGGATGAGAGGAGGAGATTGTTGGGGGCGGGTGTGCTGGTTAGGATTGGGGAGTGTGTGGAGAAGTATCAGAGGGTTATGATTGGAGATGTGGTGGGGTTTGCGTAGATGATGTTAGATAGGGATGAGAGAGGAAGGGGAGGGGGAGAACAATAGTTAGTTACCGTGCTCATCACTGTATTATCCCATTAGATCCTTGCGGAAACGGAAAGCGTAACTGTAACATAACAGTAGTATTCTGAAAATGGTATATTTGGTGATCTAACCTACTTGCACAAGAAAGATAGCTATATTTTATCGTATGAGTAAACTTATGGTAGCTATGCTATCTATCCATGATTCTTCTCTCTGGAGTTCTGTCTACAATAATTAAGAGATTATTCTATCTGTACTCATCGTTATCATCATCATCAAAGTCCCGTCACGTCACAAACTGCGCTCCTTTCTTCTCTCCCTACAAATTACAAATTCGCCTTTCCTATCCCTCCCCTCATAACTCCTCTCGCCCTCTCCAACTGCTCCTTCAAATCTTCATTCCAAATCCACTTACACCTCTCTCTTAACTTCTCCTTCATCCCTTCCATATCAACACCTTCATCTCCCGCCCCCATCATCTCCTCATTTTCAAACTCATAGAGTTCCGCCGCTTCCCTACTCGTCGTCACAACCTTTTGACTCCTTGGTCTCCTAATCTCATCATACGCTTTAAATGCGCTCTCAATTTGCCTTGTGTCCGTACAATCTGCAAGTAAATTTGAAAGAACATACGCATCTTCGATAGCTTGGCCGGCTCCAGCTCCTTGATGTGGGGTACTAGCGTGAGCGGCGTCGCCGAGGAGGACAAGCCGGCCTTTGTAATAGATTGGAGCAGGGAGAGAATCGAAGAGGGCCCAGACGTCGGGTTTTTCCATGATGGAAAGAATGTGTTTTACATCTTTACCCCAGCCTTCGAAATCTTCGAACATGTCTGATTCTTTCATTGGAAGAACCCATTTTTCATTATCCCATTTCCCATCTTTTTGGGTGCGGAAAGCTACAACGTTCATTGTGGCTCCCTTTTCGATTGGAAATGTCAGGACCTAGGTGGGTATGTGAGTATGAAAAGAGTTCGGATGAAAGGGGGAAAACACTTACATGGCCATGATGACCCAAGTACATTTGACTATTTCGAGCTAAAGACTCACCAACAGCTCCAATTGCTTTCTCCATAGGAATCAATCCTCTGTATGCATATTTCCCACTAAACACCGGTACTGTAACCTCATGATCCTCACCAAAAACCATATGTCTCGTTCTCGATTTGACACCATCACAACCAATAACCGCATCCGCCTCAGCTGTCGTACCATCCTGAAAAGTCATCTGTAATCTATCTCCTTTCTCCTCTACCTTCTCTACTCTTTTTCCAAATTGGGAGTTTTCATCCGGAACTAACTTGACCAATTCATCGAGGAAATGCGCTCGGTGAACTGAAGCTTGTCCACAGTCTTTCGCCACAACTTCGGTGAGAAATTCTCCCTCTTTCGCGGGTGGCCCGGTTTTGAAATATTTCCAGCCTTCTTCCGCCATACCCATCCGGAAATCAAACCAGATGTCTCTTTCTTCTGGTGATCCATTGTATGTTGCGCAATTATCGAAACCGTGTTTAACGGATGGGTCTATTAATTCCATTGCCCGAACGGAATTTGGACCAAATGATACTCCAGCACCCTATGAGATGTGAGCTTCTATGCACTTTACATATGGGATGATATGATCATACAATTTCTGCAAATGCAGGTGCGGCTTCGTATACTATGCATGGTATATTATGTTTTAAGAGACCAATTGCCATACACAGTCCACCGATTCCTCCACCTATCTCATGTTAGATGATGGATCAACGTACATTCTTAGAATCAACATACCGCAAATAGCAACATGGAAAGGTTTCTGGGGTTTAGTGGATGTTGACATCATAGATTACTATGAGGACTTTGGGAGTTTATGAAGGAGTATCGAATAGAAAGTATAGGTATGATATGATAGAAGACTTAAAAGTCGGATTGAGAACTGAGAGAGAAATTACCTTTCAAAGAGGAATCGAAATATATATACTTTAAACAGACAGTTTATCTGAGATATGCTCGTGCAGTCCATACTTTCCTACTACCGGTATAACGTCGAGTGGTTTGTCGATGGATATCGGGGTGGCACTTGCCAAGCTCCCCGCAGGAGGTCTATCATCTCACTCATCTATTGATAGAGAGGAAATCTGTAAATCACTGTAACGTATAAAGTGCCATTCGGGCCTCGGCACATCAAGCCAGCATCAAATCCAAGGTAATATGTTGGATTTGAGAGGTTGAGGTCGGGGAGATAAGATTGCCCCGCAACAAAGATCCCCGGAAGCAAAAGGATCAGGCTGTGAATCAACATTGAGAAAGCTGCCATATCGGTTCAACAAACTAAAAAGGCTATCCTTGATACTCTGCAATTAGTACCAACTTTATTGTAATGGAAAAACTTCGAGACATTTGTAGAGTATAGCTAAAACTACTTTTTCTTTTTGAAAAGAAATCTTGTATTATTAACCTCAATTGTGTAGATAGATTAGATTATTAAAACTCTTATTAATACTTTGGGATGTAAGTCATATTTACTCTAAGCCAGGTAGAAGATACATATAATGATGTCAAAATTGAAAAATAGATTTTTAAAAGGTAAATAAGCAAAATATATTAAAATAGTTTAAAGAAGAATCAGGTTTTTTTATATATATTTCTTTATCTAAATTCTCGAATCTATATTTAAAAAAAATGCTAGCTATTTTTGTAATATAAATAGCCTATTTATGAGTTTCCAAAGTTTTTTAATAATCTCGTCAAAAGTCTACTAAAACAATTTCTCGAGTTAGTAATAGTTATTATAGTAGTGTTATCTTTGAGAATCTATCTAATCAAGAATATTTTCAAATTTTTATAGAAAAATTTCGAATAAAAGAATCTTAATATCAGTCTAATAAATTATTCTTGTTAAATATCCTATGTTAGGATTTATAAGGAAATTTATCTTATAAAGATTATTATAAGAAAGTACTAAAATATATATTGAGATAAAAATATAAGAAGTTATATACAAACTTTGTCTAAGTTTTTTGCAAAATGTAAAGACAAGATTTTAGAAAGGAGATCTAGTTTATACTTATAATAATGCTATATATCTTCAATAATATTCATAGGTTTCAATTGCTTATATCTCTATAACGTTATAAAGAATCTGATTACAAAATCAATCTAGTATACAAAATATTATATAGTTCAATGTATTTCGCAAAATCAATTATAGTATTAGACTATTGTGAAACTAGTTCTAATAAAGATTTTTTAAATATGAATCGAACTTTAATATAGATATTTCTAGAATGTTTCTTTGTTATATTGTGAGGAAACCAATCAATAGTATTAGAGTCACGTGATAGTCTAGAGAGGGTACTTATACCCCCTCTTCCAGTAGTTTAGATCGGTCGTCATGTTTTTACCCCTTCAAAGTTATACCTATTCTCAGTGTTTAGACGAATAGTTACTTTATCCCCTTTTGACCATGACTATCTTTCAGTAATACTACGATTAGATGATTGTTATACAATATATAGTTATGCCAAAGGCTTTCCTATGATTTCACACTTAAACACAATATTCCAAAGAAAAATTTCTGATCGCCAGAAGTTGAATTTCAGTCTGAATTCAAACTCTACAGAGTTATAATAACATATACAATATATACCGCTTTTTATGAATCAATATGGCGTTTTATACAACACCACCCAAGATTATCGACCTGGAAAACACGAATTATATCAATCCGCAGGCCCTAAAGATACTCTCCAATTTTAAAAACCACTCAAAAAGAAGACAATATACCTTCACCAATGAAGTATTACCAGTCTTCATATTAGGAAATAAAATATATATCAACAATATTAACCTAACAATAAAGACCTTTAAAACCAAACTTGCTAAATACGAATATATTAAAAGAATTCAGTGAAAGATTATAATTGGCCTAATAGATATAATCGATAAATATATCGATTTCTTTGCCACAGAGAACGAATGAACTACAACCAGGAAACTGAACACCAGAGTTATAGAAATCCTTACATTTACTATCAATAACAGATCCGATCTATTGTCGAGTTTATTATATATATTACCAGTAACAAGAAGCATAGTTTCTTTGAAAATATAAACCATTATCAAAACCTATATAGAGATCCTTAAGATCCCCAAAACAAGTCAAAACAGGGCAGGCCGAGCAGACCCATCTATACCTCAAGAGATCCTATCAAAGGCTTTACCTAACAATACATATACCAAACAATAGGCGATATAAACCGCCCGGAACACAGATCATAGATTACTAATAGTTATCAGCCCTGTAACCCGAATCAGCTGATTAGCCCTATATATACTAAAAAATGCCTTTGTTAAAGCAATCACAAACCTAACATTGGCAGATGTCCTTACTATATCTGTTATTAAAACAGGATAGACTATTACACCAAAAAACCCAACAACCCACAAACTACTTCTTATACAGGAGAATAAGGAAATCATTCTTCAAATCAGCCAAAACACACAAATGTATCAATTAATAACATGGTACAATTATACAATCCCCAGAGTCCCAGTATTGATATATATACTAGATAAACTCCCAGCCAACACTACAAATCATATAAAAATAAAGATATAGACATAAATAAGCCAATCCCTAATCAACTATAAACTCTCCCAACACAAAGCCAACCCTTACAATGGTATAATCATATAGATAATATCCTTCCTCAAATCAGTCTGTGGTTTTAGGCTTTTTAACGTTAGCAAACTGATATAGGAAATTAAAACAAAACCTACTATAATCCGACACAATACTGGCTGCCAAGGCTGGTACAATCCAATAAGATATACCAGGCTCACCCGCTGTATAAATTATAATATTCGAAAAGATGCATATAAAGGCCCACAAGAACCCAATTGTATAGCAAAAGCATAATATACTAATTGTTTTGGACCTTTCGCGGCAGAATACTAGAATTGCCTAATAGCACTTAAGGTAGTGGATGGTAAAGTCACAGCATTTACCAAACCATAACTCAAGGTTATACAAAAACCGGCTCTGGCTTTGGAAGCAGCAACGTTCGCCAATCAGAAGTCAAAGGATAACTCTAAGAAAGGGCCTATCCCAGACACAGTCATACCCATACTCATACTCATCCTACCACTAAAACGCTAGAGAGAATAGATCACTATATATGAAAAAAGTGGGGACAGTCTAACAGTAACACAACTCAAGAAAGACATGGTAACAACAAGCCAATCAAGACGGAAATCCTTAATAAATACAAACCTTAATAAGAAGATTCTAGTTAATAATCAATAGAATACCAAAATAGAAAAGAACCCCTAATCCAATATATATGAATAAATACCTGATATATCAAAATGATATATATAGTTATTAACAATCCAGAATACAGGACTTAATAGTCTATTAGGCAAATGTGAGCAGAATACCAGAGGTTTACAATACCCTATTACAAATAGTATTTGAAAATAAATCAGATATCCTATACATACAGGAATCCTTTATATTCCCATTTACAAAAACCAAAATATATCTCGGATAGATCTTATATACGCCAATAGATTTATAAATAGGAATATCCCCTGAACAAAGAGAGGTAGAACAATCCCGAATACTGATATACATTAGAAAAGGAGTGAAACTGTGAATCCAATAGAAACAGCTAATCAAAAGTTGTGATATACTCTGGATAGATGTAAACAGGCATCCTATACTGAACATATATCGACAATCACAAATAGAACAGGTGCTATTGTATATCACCGAATTATAACTGCCCCTAGGGTATCTCATTAGAAACGATTTCAATATTATATACGAAATATAGCAACCTAGATCGGAAAACCTTTACAAAAGGAATGAGCTAGCAGTTTGGACAAACTTAGTTAAACTAGAATATATTAGAGAAAAAAGAGTATTTACCTATATAAAAGGAAATATACTTAATCTCTTATTCTCTAATATACCCTTTGCAGAAATTAGGGTCTGGCATAACCTGCACAGCAGCTCAGATCACCATATCTTGGTAACAACAATACCTGGTAGAGGAATTAAGCTTCTAAACCAATACAATATCTATATCCCGGAAATGGAATTACTACAACTAATAGAGCTGATAACGAATAAAGTAGTATACTTGCCTATAAACGACACCCTTGATACCCCAGAAAGGATAGATAACTATATTGATCAATTTACACAAATCATCAAACAAGCAATAACTGCAATAAGAATTATGGACAGAGGAAAAGGTAAGGCAATACTCTAGTAGATAGTGAAATACAAAAAGACCTATACTGAACATTTGAACAGACAAGCTGTATCAGGGAACCCCTTCACCACAGCAATAAAGGAATTCAAAACAATAGTCAAAGCAGCCAAACATAACTATTAAAGATATATTATAGATAACATCTTTAATAACAAGAATTTATACAAAATAATTGGCTAGCATAAGCTTATCCTGAATCTCAAAAACCCCTTAATCACTTCAAACGGAATAGTAATAAAGGATATAATAGAAAAAGCCGAAGTATTCAGAATAAAGATTCTAAACTGTTTTAGTACAAAAAATGATCTGGAATACAATCTATTAGGAGATTAATAGAAAGGAAACAGATACTTATTCTGAAACTCCCGGTTTATATTAGAAGAAGTCAAAACAAGTGTTATCAGAGTATCCAGTATATCCCCAGGAACTGACCAAATCATAATCAGAATCCTCAAGGTCTACTGGGACTATCTCAAAAACTCACTAAGACAACTCTACCAGAAATACCTTGAACACAGCTATTTCCCCAAAACCTGAAAACTAACTGAAGTGATCATATTATCCAAAATCGGGAAAAAGGATATGATATCCATAAGGTCATAGAGACCTATCGTCCTACTCTTTTGTATAGGAAAAGGCCTGGAAAGAATAATTACTAAATGATTAGACTGGATAGCTCTAAAGTATGGTATTATCAGTTTCCAATACGACGGAGCCTTGCCCAAACGCTTTACAATAAACCTGGTAGTATCCTTCATATATAATATGAAAACAATATTAGTTATTAGAAAGAAAGTGATCATAGTTACTATAGATGTGCAAAACACCTTTGATATATTGTTCAAAAGACAACTCCTTGCTAAAATAACAAAACAAGGCTGGTCTAAGGACTTATTCCTGTTAATTGACTTTTTCCTAATAAAAAGGAAAGTCAGAGTATAATTAGAGCAAGCTACAACCAGAGAATATTTAATAGTTTATAGAATCCCTCAAAGCTCCCCTTTATCACTAATCCTATATATACTATACCTAGCGGAGCTATTCTCAGAAGATATCTCTCTCAGATTCGGGTATACAAACGATATATGCCTATACAAAGTATCTAAAACCCTAGAGAAAAACACCAGATACTTCACTACAGATGTACAAGATATTATAAAATGAGAAGCAAACAATTGTATCGTCTTTACCCTAGAGAAACTGGAAATGATCTATATCTTTATAAATAATAGTAATACAATATCTGTTATCAGAATAAATAAAGAACTCACAATATATCCAATAATAACTACAAAAACAAACACCTGTTCAACACTGAAATAGTTGGGAATATAGTTCAATAGAAAGCTGAATTTTCATAGATATATTATTGAATATACAAGTAAAGCCAAAATAATAGCAAAGTATATATAAGGTTTGGCTAAAGTTATACAAAGCCCTTTAGTATATACTATATACAAGACAATAATTATATATATACTTCCCTTATTTCTATACAGGATTAAGGCCTGGTATAGAGATAGATTTAAGATTGTGCAAAAACTAAAACCAGAACAAATAAAAATTAACATCTGTCTTGGTTAGTATATAACACAAATCGAAAAGATCCTCACAATAGCAATATAAGGAATTATATTAGTCTGAAAAACCACACCAATGATTACTCTCTATCACGAAATAGGTCTTCTTTTAGTTATAACAGTCCTCAAAGAAGCCAAACTGAGGTTTACTTTATATCTCCAAAGCATAAATACAATTCACCTGTTTACAAAAAGAATCAAACCCTTTATAATCATTAAAGAATAGAATACAGACAAAAGACAAAAAGTGAAAACCAAAGTTTAACGACTTGGTCTCCTTGTTCCCCCAATCCCAAGATCTATATTCGAATTATTATAATATACATCTAATTGTTGAATAGATCTAATAAAAGAGTTTAACAAGAAAACAGCTGCAAAAGTCTTCAATATCTGATAAGAAAACCTGTCAGACACAGATATCATTATCTTTTCGAATAGATTGGAAAACTATATAAAAGGAAAATATATTATAGATTACAAATATATAATATACCTAAGCAAAAATCAGATATTAATAGGCTCTAGCTTTATCAATATCTAATTCTATATCTTTGATATAGAAACTATTAGAGTATAGAAAAGCCTGGAATATACCCTCAAGAATGCCAGATATATCAATCAGAAAATCTGGATGTATATCGATAGTATCTTGGTCATTTAGGATATAAGGACTAATATCTTTATATTATTATAATAGATGTTCAATAATTACTATAGAACTATAAAAGACAACAATATTTGTATCAAGTGGTTATTGGAGTATAAAAACATTGAGGGAAACGAGATAGCTGACTACCTCATTGACCTTGGTGTCAAAAAACCTAGTTAGGACATTGGACTAATATCCCAATCTATCTATAATAGGGTAAGATCGATCATATACACCTTAAGAAAAGAAGCCTACTAACAATAATAGATATTATACAAACCTGTCTTTTCGCTGTAGTATAAACAATAGGACCCAGTATATAAAATCAAAACACTGCCAAAGTTCCTACTTTTACGAGTAATTCTATATAGACTGATAATTATCCGAATCTTATATAAAGACTTCGAATAATATCACAGGAAATTCGGGTATATAGGAGATATAGAATACTTTTGTGAAAAGCCCAAAACCTCTGTCCACCTAATTTACTACTGGAAGGTAAAAGGTATATTTGAATAATGGCTAAACAAGCCCTCCATATCACCATCAATAAATAAAAAAGGTATTCAATATCTATATCAAATTTTAAACAATCTTATAGACTTTGCAAAACTGCTAAAGTTTATAAAATTCTATAAAGATATATATACAAAGTAAAGAGTTGCAAGCCTATATTCTATAAACAAACAATCTAAACATTATGATAATATATATCTACTATCAGGATCGATTTGTAATATACAATACAAACGAAATCATCAATTCCTTTTACAAAACGTATACAGAAAAACAAAATTATCAATAGATATAAAAAAGCCTGATTGAATATCAATAAGATATATAAAAGCACATTTACAAAACACTCCCTGGAATATAACAAATATTCGAATAGTTATATTAAAAGTAATCTATTAAACCGCCTAGCTTATACAATGGCAAACCTGCAACCTGAGTATAATTATCTATATCAGATAAAACAACAGAATTATTTCAACCAGCGAAGAAGAGAATATACAAATTGGAAGGTAATATATAATTATCAGAAATGGCTATAAGGCTTTCACTTTTCTTTTTAAGACACTTTCATTTCATGTATTATAAGATTATAGCTTAGAATATCTGCATACCTCTAGGAAGGTTCTGAGGGCAGCCACAAGCTGCTCTCCTGATGTAAAATAATAATACTACTACTACTACTACTACTCCTATGATTTCACACCTACCTTCACTCTTTTACAATATATATATAGAAAGAGATAACAATTAATCAATATTTTTGTAATAAATATATATTGTTACAAATTCTTTATGAATTGTTTAGGCTAAAGTCAAATTTTTTATATCCAAGATTAAATTCTAGATTCAAAATTGAACAATTTTTGACTATTTAGCTCCTGCAATCACAGTATAACTAAAAACACCTTAAATAGATATAGAATTAATAAGTTTGTTAATAAACAAGATTGCAAGCTTATTATATTAATACCAGAATACAGAATAAATTTCAAAAAAAGTAGCGATTTTATTATCAAGAAAGTATATGATAGCAAACATAATGGATAGGAATTCTTCATAATAAGAGGTCGGAGGGATGGTGTTAATTATATAGTTATATTGCACGTGATCAGGCGTCTCAATCAACGCGCAATTCGCGAACTCTTATCGTTATCGTTCTCTCTCCATCGAAACCTAGGTACTTCTTTTACAAGACCACTTTCAATCCCTTCGACAACCCGTTATCTGCTGAACCACAGCATTCCCAATAACCTCCATCCGCCCGATCAGATAGCCAGTCATTATGCCTTTGGGTTGGGAAAGAATTAACGTCAAACGTACACAACCAAATAACAATATCGTATTCATCAAACCCCTCACTGGTGAAGATAAATACAAATCACAAGAGTTTCTCGAGCGGATCGCTGCACAATGTACCCCAATAATGAACAAACATCATCTTTCCGTCGCTTCTCTAGAAGAATTTCCTCCTAACTTGGAATTCTGGGGTATATCCACCTCCGCAAACTTGTCTGCTGCCGCAAATACTGACACGTTCTCAATAAATAGGTCGCAATTTCAATAATGGAGAAGTAATACAACTTGTTCTTAAATCACCCACAACGGGAAGATGGCTCCCATTCAAATTCGTACAAATGGTTATGATGCATGAGCTGGCGCATTGTAAACAAATGAATCATTCGGGGGCGTTTTGGAAAGTTAGAAATGAATATTCGGTGGAGATGAAGGGGCTTTGGGAGAGGGGATATACAGGTGATGGACTTTGGGGGCAAGGAGTCTTGTTGAAAAATGGTGCTTTTATGGGAGATCAACTGGGTGAGGGGGAGGTATTGCCGGAGCATTTGTGTGGTGGGACGTTTAAGTCAAGAGGAGGGGGGAAGAAAAGGAAGGCACGTCCGAAGATTACATACAAGGAGCAAAAGGAGAGGAGAATCAGGAAGAAATTTGGTGTTAATGGAGTGGCGTGTAAGTATCTCTTTTCTCAGACCCTACCAATCCTTAATCTTAAAGACAAAATACTAATCCAAATAAACACAGTGGGAGAAGACCTCGCCACCAAAACCGTTCTCGAAAAAGGCAAAACCAATCTCTCCAAACCCAAAGTAGCCGGTAGCAAAAGAGGCCGAGATCTCCGCGCCGCAGCAGCATTAGCTCGTTTCGAAGTCAAGAAAGAAGAGCCCGACATCAAAGACGAAGATCTAGTATCCGATAGCGAAGCAGAAAGTGTTGTCGAAGACGAAATATACATCAAACCTGAGCCAGATGACGCGCTTGATATTGATGGAAGTAGACTTCTGGATAAAAAGGGGAGGGGAATGGTAAAAGTGTGTGAGGATGAAGATGGGGATGATGAGGGTGCTAAGAGGGAGTTTGAGGAATTGAGGGGAATGGAGAGTATTGAGAGGTATTTCAGACCGGATGGACCGTCAAAGGCTAAGAAGGAATCGGAAAAAATGGTGGTACCCAATGGAATTGCGTCATCAAAGTCACATAAGCCAGCTCAAAGTAATAGTATCGAGAAAAACACCTCCACCCCCACCCCAAAAACCACCTCGATCAAAAAACCACCCATCGCCTCACTCCCTCCATCCAAACCAACATCCAAACCAACACCCGCACCCGCACCCCTCACATGCCCCATCTGCTCCCTGGATAACCCTCCCCTTTCTCTCACCTGCACTATGTGCGCCAATGTTCTACGTCCAGAATTTGTGAGTGGTTCGTGGGAATGTACGGGCTTTGATTGTGCAGGGGGTGGAGAGGGTGGAGAGGGTAGAGAGGGTAGAGGGGGTGGGTATGTTAATGCGGGAGATGTGACTTTTTGTGGGGTTTGTGGGGGGAGGAGGGAAGGGTGAGGGAGAGGGGGGAGAGGGAGAGGTGAGGGAGGTTTGGGGATAAGGGGTATGAAGTTTTTAATTAATGAGGGGGGTTGAGTTTGGGTTTGGTGTAGAGTGGAGTTTTGGTGATGTACTCGTGATAAGAATACAGTGATGGGGGTTTTAGTGACGGGTGTTTATAGGTTGTGAAAATATAATGAATGACTTGACTGCTCGAATAGATTACCTAGTAGTACTCGTATATTGTATATCTAGTAGCGTTATATGTAATATAGGATATATAATATGCTATCCATATAAACATTAACATGAATATAAATATAAATTCAAATATAATAATTACAATGTACTCGAGTAAGTATACACAGTACAATGAATTGAAAACTAATACTCTCCAACAGATATTATATAGGGAGAGAGAGGGAGAGTATATAGAGAGTACTAGGGATATCCACTTAAGTTACTCGAGTATTTGTTTATATTATATCGTTAATTGTTGTTTTCTTATAATTATAATTATAATATACAGATAGAGATAGTGGATGGAGTGGATAGGTTGAATGAATGAATGGGTGGGAACTTGGATAGATAAATGGAAATAGAGTACAGTAAGCTAGGAGTTAGAATTGGAATTGGGAGCTGTGGTTTAGGGGTTTGAGATTGGAGATTTGGTGATGAAAGTATTTAATCTATTTGGGGTTTATGCAATGATTAAGGATAAGGGATAAGGGATGATATCATCATGTAACATTGTAATTCGTGTTTGATACTCGTGTTTTGATGGGGTTGTATGTATATATGTATGGTATAGTATGTGATTGGAATATATATATGGCATGGCATGGCATGGCATCGTTTAATTACATCCCCTCTATCTTCATCTACATTTCCCCTCCCCTCCCCCAATCTCACTCCAACCCACCCACACACTAATCCAACCCCCCATCCCTCAACCCAAACAACACCCCCATCATCTCCCCCGTCTTCGACCTCACCGCATCATGATACATCGCATTCGTAACCCACTGTCTACAGCCTCTCACCAACCTAACCGTTTCCTGCGCAAGCCCAAAATCCACATACATATCATCTACATACGTAGCCGCATACAGCGGGACCTCATTGCGCGCCAGCTGCCATTCGTCGTATAGGGGAGGCCAATCAGTGTATTCGGCGAGGATTTTTGCAGCGGGGAAGATGGCGGCTAGTTCGGGCGAGGTCTCAAACATGAAGGGGTAGATCATTTCGCCGGAGAAGAAGAGGGGTTCGGAGATGATGGAGTTGGGGGAGCGGGGACGCCCGGTGAGCCATTTGTATTCGGGGAGGGTTTTGCCGATCTAGAGGGGGGGAAGGGTTAGTGTTTGGAGGGAGGGAGGTGTATGGGTTGGTTGGGGGTTGATGGAGGGAACTTACTCGGTCGGCAGCCCAGTCTGATGCTTTGCCGCTTTGGCAATAGATGGATTCGTGTAAGATGGCATAGATTACATTGTTATCCATACTATAGTACCGAGGGATTAGTAATTGTCTATCAAGGAAGAGGATTCTGGAGTGAAAAGAGCAAGCAAAGATGTATATGATGAAGGAATGCAATATTCAAGCAGATCTCGACAGTGGGGGAGTATGGAATAGCAGAACCATGATGCTCACCTGACCATATCCTCAATAGCCTTTAGAGTTGGTTTAGTAACGAAAGAATATTGATCCAAATCCGAACTCATCCTCAGCACAACATCATGAACCGTATCCAATCCTCCATGGAACCCAAAATTGATACCCATAGTCAAGAACATCCGAACAGTCAATGTACCACCAGATGGTAATTGGAGTCCATTTTTAGCGCTGATGTGAATCGCAAGACCCTGAACTACGGCGACGTCTTCAGGAAATTTTTGATAGTAGGCTCGATTTCTCTCAATTACTTTTTGGAATGTGGCGCGGTAGACTCGCTCGGCTGAGTGACCGACGGGGGCAAGACCGCCGCTGGTAAAGACTTCGCGGAGACCTTGATAGTGGAAGGAGAGGTATGTGAGAACGCAGAAACCTCCAAAGGATTGGCCGAAGACGGACCATCTATGTGATATTAGCAAATAGTCACTCCGACTCTAATATACATGAAGCTCGAGCTATGAGATAGTAAATGGGTATATATTGAAGTGGAGCTGTCAGTGAAGGAGGGAGAACCTAAATCTGTGGGAGATTGGAAGAATGGGAAAAAGGGAGAACTTAGAAGTGAAGAAAATCACATACTTCTTGAGTTCTTCAGGATAATCAGCAGTAAGAATTTTGCGTATAGCCTCACAATCCCTCACGATATTATCAGCTCTAAAATGCTTAAGATAATCCGCTTGGCGTTGAGCATCTCCTTGCAAAGCCAAAGTAGCCGCTGAAATGGGATTACTCAATCCAGTACCACGCTGATCAATATAAAGCATCTGGTAACCTTTATCGAGGACTACATTGGTGATTGGTGCATCTTGAGGAGGATTGCATCCGAAGCCTGGTCCACCTTGAAGGTAGACAAACCAGGGCTTTTGGGAAGACTTGCGGATTTCTTCTTCCGTAGGCTTTGCTACTGGGTTCTCATGTTTGATTACGCTACGCGCAAAGATTCGTATGGAACCTTTTGATTCATTGGAATAGCTAGATAGGTTCGAGTCAACTTTTTGTTTTCTGAGGAATTGAAGGAATTCTTTAGCATTATTACTTACTCCAAAGGAACTTCGAAGACTAATTCTGAAACTTTGAGTTTTCCTATAGATTTGTTAACAATAAATCCATACCGTTGGATGTCAAGTAGAAGGATAATTATAGATCCCAAGTAATCAACCTATGAAGTCCCCATATATTGACCATAGACTGAGCTCAATCTAGACAGGTATAAATAGATTGCCAGTGATAAGGGAGGGAACAACCATATCCGTTAATCAGTTAGAATATTCAAAAACAAAAGTATCATCTTACCTGGTATCAAATGTGTTTTCGAGTCTACCAGATGAGATAAAGACATCTTCCTAGGTGGTGTTGCGACTGGTGTTGTCCTTAACAATCTAAAAAGTTGTCTGTTGAGGCTAAACATAAAAGATGAGATTTAAGTTGGAGAAGTATTTGAAGAAAAAGTGATTTATATATTGTATGTACGATATGAACCACTGACTGAAGTGTGTTCAATGTGATGTGATAGATAGATATCTCAAGCTCAAGAGAAGATGAGCAATGATATGAGTAAAAATGGATAAGATAGCTTGATTTATGGAGGATGTGGTGCCAGTGCTTTTATATGTAATGAGTATTATCGGATTGACCTGTCCTGTCACATGTAATTGTACTGGTATATAAAGATATAACTCGTAATAAAAATCTCATTACTCGTAACTTAAAAGAGAAGCCATTCAAACGTGGGGCAAAATCGTGTTGGATAAATCCACCCCCCACTAAGGAACAACATCAATATCTATTTTCCACAAGAGAAAAAAAGTCCACAAGGAAAGGATCAAATATTCAAAACCTGAAGGTATGTGATGTCCAGTTCTCTCTTTTCGATTATAGAAATATGAATCAGCTTGGAAGATCATGGATGATTGTTGTTTATAGGATCTAGAAATGAAAGTTCATTTTCGCATTCATTATCTTATTATTGTGCTTGCAGAATCTTCAATTGACTTTGTACTCTGGCTGTATGAACTCAACATACAAAGCAGCACATAAGCCTTCAAGTTTCTGAAGAAGTTATATCACATCTACACATGTTGAAGGATCAAAAATACATTGCACCTACATCTTCAAAAGCTAGGTTCATCTACCAAACCACTGACTCTATTCTCTCTAGTCACGTGATATCAATTTACCTTCTTACCTACCTACTTCTTTGCTCCCTCTCTACTGCAGCTATCAAGATGGCTAAAGACAAAAAATCCAAATCCGACGACAAAAAGAAGAAGCTTGCCGAGAAAAAACAAAAACAGGGCAAAAAAGCCGACAAAAAAGAAAAGACCAAAGCCCAAAAATCCAAATCCGCCGACGACAGCGACGATGAATCCATCGATCTCGATTCCGTTCTAGCTGAATATGCCAAAGCCCAAGAATCCTTCTTGAAAATCACCGAGGTTCCTTGTGCTCCGCCCAAACCCCGAGCTTCTTCGACTCTGATTGCTAGTCCCGGTAATGCAAACGAGTTGTTTTTATTCGGGGGCGAGTATTTCAATGGAGCGTTGGCTACGTTTTTTAATGATTTGCATGTTTATGCGATTAATAAAGATGAGTGGCATGTGGTGACGAGTCCGAATGCTCCGTTGCCCAGGAGTGGTCATGCTTGGTGTAGAGGGGGGAATGCGGGGGGTATATATATGTTTGGGGGGGAGTTTTCGAGTCCAAAGCAGGGGACTTTTTATCATTATAATGTGAGTTATTTTTGCATCTAATTCTCTCTCCAACTGAGGGATGAGGATGAAGATGCATGTAGATGGTAGATATGGATATATACTAACAATACATATAGGATTTCTGGCACCTCAATCCCTCCGAGCGTGAATGGACCCGTCTAGAATCCAAAGGCAAAACCCCTCCCGCCCGCAGCGGTCACCGCATGACCTACTACAAAAACTACATCATTCTCTTTGGAGGTTTCCAAGACACATCCCAAGCCACCAAGTACCTCTCGGACCTCTGGATCTACGACACATCCAACTTCATCTGGCACAACCCCGTGCTCCCGCCCGTGACACAAAAGCCCGATGCTCGTTCCTCCTTTACCTTTCTCCCGCATGAAAGCGGTGCTGTCATGTATGGAGGCTATTCCCGCGTGAAAACAAATGTCACGGGAAAACAGATGAAGGGAGGTGGAATGGCCATGAGAAATGTGTTAAAACCCATGGTGCATCAAGATTGTTTTTTCCTCCGAATCGTCCAGCCCGCCGATACATCGAACCCGACCGCTCCCACCGTCCGCTGGGAACGACGGAAAAAACCCGCCAACACCCCAAATCCTCCTCGTGCAGGCGCTACCATGGCGTATCACAAAGGACGCGGTATACAATTTGGAGGCGTACACGACATTGAAGAATCAGAAGAGGGAATCGACAGCGAATTTTTCAACACATTATTTGCATGGAACATTGAACGAAACCGATATTTCCCGCTTTCCCTGCGTAAACCAAGAGTGCAAAAGAAAAACAGCGGAGGAAATGAGAGAGGAGGAAGAAGAGGAAGAGGCCAAGCGAACGAGGAGGAATTACTGAGGAATTTAGCAGCGCTAGAAACGGGGAAGAGTTTGGCTGATGCAGATGACATGGAGATCGAAAAGACGCAACCCGATGCCAATGATGCCGATGCATTACCCATCAAACAAGTCCTCATGGAATTTCCACACGTAAGATTCAATGCGCAATTAGCCGTTCAAGACGATGTACTCTACATCTACGGAGGCACCTATGAAAAAGGCGATCGAGAATTCACATTCGATGAAATGTACGCGGTGGATTTGGGTAAACTGGATGGGGTCAAGGAGATTTTTAGACGCGAACCCGAGAATTGGTTTGGGAGTGATGAGGATAGTGATGAGGATGATGAGGATGATGATGATGATGATGAAGATGACGATGAGGAAGACGACGAAGAGGAAGAAGAAAATGCCGATGCCGATGGTGATATCAACATGGAACCCAAAGCACACCTCCACAGCACCAGCACCCGCAAATCCAAATCCAAATCCGCACTCACTCAAGAAACCCTCTCCCTCACCCCCTCCCTCACCTCCTCCACCACCACCTCAATCCCCTTCGACGACACACCCGACCCCTCCCCCGATCCCAACAACCCCACCTCCTCACCAAGCGACAACCTCCCGCACCCCCGTCCCTACGAGTCCCGCCGGGATTTCTTCCAGCGCACAGGAACCGAATGGCAAGAAGCGCTTATGACCGGACTGCGCTGGAAAGGAATCCAGCCAGAATCTTTGGGGGTGAAGGAGATTAAAACGAAGGCGTTTGAGATGAGTGAGGAGAAATGGTGGGATGTGAGAGAGGAGGTGGTGGCGTTGGAGGATGAGCAGGAGGCGGCGGGGGATTGGGGAGGTGGTTGCGTTGGGGGAGAGGGCGGATGGGGGGGAGGGGGCGTGGGGAGGAGGAGGTAAGGTAGATTTGGGGGTGGATGGAGGGTGTGGATGGTTGGATGCAGTAGATAAATGGGAAGAGGAGGGAGAGAGGGAGGTGGGTTTTAGAGGGCTAGAATGTATGGATGGGTGAATGGATGAATGGATGATTATTGAGGTAGCAAATTTTCATATTGGCTATTGCTATTTCTATTTTCCCAGAACTCCTGACTATTTTTAAATTTCCATTTTCCCCCGGGTATCCCAACACATAAAATAGAATGAATATACATATACAGACAAACTTAGCAGTAGCCATCAACACGATCATTTTCCATACCAGCTTGCTTTGCGAGGCTAAACCCCTCATTACCAATCAATCCATCTCATCACAGCTCCACCTTCACAATCCATCTCCTCTCCTCCTCCCCTCCCCCTCCTCCCCTCCCT